GAGATTGCAAAAGTGGTTCCCATACACATGAGCTCATTCAAGTTAAGCAACCCTTGCTTCTAAATGTTAGAATCAACTAACACTTAAATCAAATATCTTTTCGGACCTCTTTCTAGTTTTAAGTTTAGTATTAGGTCGTCAAGAAATTAATGTCGCTTTTTTATATGAAAAATCCCGAACAACCTATATTTCAAAACAAAACATTTATTAAATAGTCTCCATTCTTATCGATGATGCTTATCCATCTTACAATCAGGTTGTTAATGCACTGATTAAAGAATTCACTTGGCTTTGAAGCAAAAACACATGTCGATGTCCTCTTTAACACCTTCCACATTTGCATACGTTTTCCCATTAAGATGATGTTCAGCGAACAACAAAGATGGGAATCTGATGGTGTCATATCTGGAGTATATGGTGGGTGGGGGAGAACTTCTCAACCCAACGCTGTGGATTGAGGAGTTCAAAAGGAATTACTCCTTTGATATCCCACCAAATGCAAAGCATCACTTTCTGCGGATGGAGTGCATGGTTTGGGATCGGAAGTGGTTTTGGTCTAGGACTGAGCCATTGTTTTTGGTGTTTAATATTCTCATAGAGAATTCCTTTTTTCATCACCGGTGACTATTTTGTCCAAAAATGGTTCATGCGAATTACGCGCCAGAAGAGACGAAGCAACGTCCCCACGTTGGAAACGATGATCGTCGAAGAGTTCGTGAGGCACCCAAACACCTTTTTTATGGAGTTTTTTTCATATTCCTTAGATAGTTTACGTATTGTTTCAGGAGAGACATGCAATTTCAGGGCCATTTCACGAGTGTGTTGCCTTGGATTCGACTCAACAAGCGTCTTCAGAGATCAGTATCAATTCCAACATGTCGACCACTGCCATCACAGTTTTTAAGGCTAAAGTCACCTGAACGAAATTTGCTGAACCATCGTTGACACTTACGAACGTTCAAAACATTTCCATAAACTTCTTTGATATTCTTTGTGGCTACAGAAGCGTTGTTTCCCTTCTTGTATTCAAACAGCATTACATGCCGAATGTGTGTCTTGTCGTGTGCTATCACTATAAGGGATTAAAGAATACTAAATTTTACATATTATATAGGCTACACTAACGTGACGTTTAGGAGATTCTTTTAACTACTATACGTAATGTACATGTTTATTTTGGGGGGGGGGGGTGGCTAATGAAAGTGTTCCAAAACGCGACATTAATTTCTTGACGACCTAATATTAGCTTAGGTGCGAGTTACAAAGTTTTATCATGTTAGTGTTTCTTTTTGTCTTTATATAATACATTCACAGACTGCATTCTATAGTGGTGTGGTGTTGTTGTTGTTTTTTTGTATTTTTTTTAATTATTGATTATTTAGTTTCTGGACTGTCATGGCGGCAGGTCGTGGTCCATGGTGTCTAATATTATTTTGTTCTAGCAACCTCAGTCCTTTGTTGTTGTTGTTTTAGATGACGTATTTTGTCCACCAGAATATTTCCATATGTATCTTGACACTGGTTTTAACTAGTTAAAACTGGAATATGCTTTGCAGGACGAAGTATGACGTCAAATGAATCTGATAGCTGATCAAGTTCATAATATTTCTTGGTTGGATACTGCGTTATTACAGATAATTCTATCCAATACTTGTCGGGAAATCGATTTTTAATTTAAAATACCACAAATATATACAAAATAGACGCATCCAAGGACAACCGTGATGTCCAATTCCTCCACCTCAACCCCGTCAACAGACCCTTTAAGCGGTAGTCGACCATCGACTGGTCGTAGTAGTGACACGAATAGTGTCACGGGCCAAGACTTTGATACAATAAGATAGAAATACATGGTATATCCACAACAGCAGTGAATTTGGATCAACATTTTATGCACATGAAGAAGAGAACGTTACATTTACATACTAAATAACGTAGAACTAGATTTGGAAGTGGTAATAAACCTATGATGATGTTGATTCACTCATTAAACCATATATCTCGTTTGTGTTTTTTTATAATGCACACGGCTTCTGGTAATGGAAAACTGCTAGCTTATGGTTTCTATATATGTGTGTGTGTGTGTGTGTATGTTACACGTTATCTTAAAATGTGTATTTCTTTTATATAATTTTGAAATTACGTGCATTATTGCATCTTTCTGTAAAGATATAAATATTGAAAAAAGGTACAGATATATATCATATATTTTCGTTGCACGCCATCTAGCGTCCTATACTGTAATACTCTTTTCTTATTTCCCGCTTTTGATTTAAATCATAAACATTCCTTTTTTATGTACTAATGAAACCAAATATTATTTTAGGCTGAAATATAATATATTGATATGATTAAATTTAATACGTACTCCTATTTAAATCATGGTATTCTAATGACGTACAATGACGTTTACTGTCCCGGATGTATCATGGCGTCATGTCCGTAAAGAGAGAGATTTATACTCGTTTATAATACTTTAGGTTAAATGAATTTAGGTTTAACTGAAACCTTCTTTTATAGCCAATAAATCAAATATTATAATTGCATTAATGGTAATGCATGCAAGAAAACTTCCAAGGCTCAATGATGGGTATGATACATCTAAATATCAGGAAAAAATAGATTAAGAGTAAATTAATTTTTAAACATGAGAACCGAGATATTTATTAATAAAGTCTTAAGTAAAAACTACAGAATTGAAGAAGTGAAATTGTATGTGCGTCCAGAGCAGTGACACCGACACAACTCATTGTTACTGATACCAAGTTCTCGGCAGTTAAACATACTGAAGGAAAATTGCAAGTTGTTTATTGAAATTAAACTTAAAAATATAACATTACACTACGTTTTAACACAGGTTTACTTAAATATTGGAGTTTAATGCGGCAATAATTTTGTAAGAAAAGAAAAGTTAAGAAACATAGCCTATTTTTTAAGTTTGTGTATTTACATCGGTAAAAACGACTTTGTTTTTTTCTTATTTTGCAGGATCTTTGACAGAAACGAACCCCATCCTTATGAGGTGAGTAGGCTTTATGGGACAGCCCTGACAGTGACACTGTGACATGGCAAACTAAGTTTGGGTCAATTTTTTGTTATGTACTTCTGTACTTTTCCTCCTTGAACTATTAATATAGACATCATGTATACACCAAGATTATAAAGATGTAAATGTTGTGATTTAAAATGTGCAAAAAAGTAATTTGTAATGGAAATGTAAACAATGAATGTGAAAATAAAGCTTTAAAATATTTATCAGTAATGCATGATATAATTTTAGCACTGAAGTGTGAGTAACATCTTGTGATTTCAGAAGAACATGTGCCTTCTAAGTGGTGTCTGAAACTTTTTATATAATTTTTTCTTTATTTATATTTTGAGTTAATTAGGATTTAGAAGTATAATAATTATATGAACATATTTTTCTAGGAATTTACCTTTTATTTCCTGTTGATCTTAATTAACATTATATACCTTTAGCTAGAGTAGTGTTCTAGTCATAGAAAAAAACAAACAACCATTATTCTTGATCTTACCTTATTATGTAATACAGTTTACTACAAAAAATTGGTATTTGCTTTATGTGGTTATATAATATCTAATAGAAAAACTTATTTTACTGTTATTATTAGTACTTTTTTAAACTTGTATAGAATTTAAATATTTAATTGCTTTATATGGATATATAATATGTAATAGAAAATCTTATTTTACTGTTATTGTTAGTACTTTTTAAACTTGTATAGAATTTAAATATAGGATTAATCTTTATGGCTAACTCCAAGAAGATTAATTTTCACAAAATTCAGAGTGTTAGGTGAGAAATTTGTTCAAACATAAACGATTAAGAGAAAGCCAGTCAAGCAATTGAGGTCACCTATGAAGCTCCTAATCAGTTGAAAAACGAAATATATACAGAGACAATTGATTACAGCCTTTTGCATTTATAATCTCATCCAACCAATCTTGAAAAATACAAATTAACACTTACCCTCTTTTAATAAAATAGTTCCAAAAAAAATGACTATCCCAAGAGGGTGAACAAAATAAGTATGTTATGGAACAAAAACGAAATAAAAATGTAAAGTCTGTGTTTGTTCTTTTAAAGTTTTAATGGAAGAGAAGGAAAATACATGGTTTACTATAGTGCATAATGGAAGAAAGGCTAGGGAAGCTATTGTGTGTCATGCAGATAATTGTAACAAATAGCTTTGACTTTTGATTATCGTGGGGAAAGAAAGGCTTTTTAAGGTTTTGTAGATTCACTAACTGCAATGAATATTTGTTATGATGGAATGCGTAGGAAAAGTAAGTTTTGAATGTTAGGAGATGCTTTTATTTGCATATAATTATATCTGAATTAGTGGATAAATTGGCTAAGTCTGTGAGATATGTTTAATGGTAGGGGACAGCTGTTTTCACATCAAGGGACTCCATTTAGGATGTTTGTAAATAATGTTTAAGGATGTAAACTGACTATTAGAAACCACCTAAACCCAGGTATATTTGGAATGAGGGAAGATTCATAATTGAAAGATAATGCCTTAATATTTGAAAGACACAAAAAATAAATGTAATTGTTGTACAGATAAAGGCTGAGAAAAAGTACCATTTATGTTTTTACATTTACTGTATGTCAGGTGTTTGCAGGAAGTGCTTCAAATTGGAGATTTTGAGATCACTGTTATTATTATCCTGCTAGATATTAGTTTCGTATTAGCATGTTGAATATACCTGGTTGTTGTTTATTAGATATCCCTAGGGTCATCACTTGTTATGTATTTTACAAAACTACTTGTTAGTTGTTAGTAAAATGCAGCATTCCTTTTTTTCAAGTTGAAACATAATTTATTCCTCATTTTCCTTAGAGCATCTTGTTGTTTTTCTAAACCTTAGTTTCCTAGTTGACAAAAAAGTATTAAGTACCAACAAGTGTTCCATGTTTTATAGTTGTTTAGTTAGCAGCCCTTGTTATCACTGTGGTTATTAGCACGTTTGTTAGGTATCATGGTGTTACAGGATTTCATCCAAATCCATTATTGATCTAATGCCTGTGATATTTTTAATTGATTTTCATTTGTGACAAGAGAGAGTTAAATTATATTCAATAAATTATGAAACATAATTCATATTTAATATTAATTCCAATAGTAATGCAATTTATTGTAATAAATGTGGTAAAATACATTAGTCTCACCAGTATTTCATTTTGTCCATAAAAATACAACCTGTTTAGAAATGTGGTAAAATACATTAGTCTCACCAGTATTTCATTTTGTCCATAAAAATACAACCTGTTTAGAAATGTGTATGTAATAATAACAATTTATGTATGTATATATAACTATTTAGGAATTCATATTATCCTTCCAGATGTCCTGTGGCATTGAAAATTACTAATTTGTTCACTTATACATAAGTCTTGCTCTGTTTAACAATATAATGAAAGTAATTTTGAGTGTGGTGGGTAATTTTACTGAATCATGTTGGGACATTAAACCTCTGTTTGGTGTGTGATTTCCAGTCATTTCAATATATAAAAGATTAGCGTATCATGGAATTTTTTTTACACTGTACAACATTGAATATTATTTGACAGTTTTGAATTTTAATGTGAAAAAGTTGTTTTAATTACAATATATTATAAAATCTAACATAATTTTTTTCCATCAAAATACTCAAGTTTACTGTGAACTCTTTGCCAGTTTTATTTACTGGCAGCTTTTAAGCCACACTTATCTGCATTTTCTGAACAATATAAAATCAGAAATGTGTTTTGCATTTGCTATGATTTAGATTGGTACAATGCCTGAAATATACTAAAGTACAGGACTAATGTATGACAATTTTGTATATTTTTTAGCAAATCAAAACATTTATGAAATGCTTTTGAAACTTCTATTATTTATTGAAAATGATACATTTTAAATATAAGGTATTAAGTGTAAACAATGATTTAAATTACTGTAACACCAGGAAATAGCATTACAATTTACAAAGAAGCTAAAATAGTCATCTGTAGTTTTTTTAACACTCAGTCAGGGAGTTATGTTTAATGGATTATTTCTCAGACAAAGCTTTCCAGTACTTTTTTTAATTGTAAGTAGAGATTTGAATTATTTTTAATATCTGGATTCTGAATTGGCCACCAGTATTGCTGCATTTGCACTAATTTCCAGGCTGTGAGGGAGTAAAACCAGTACTCCCATCAAAAGTTCCACACAACACATGGAACTGGCTGCACAGTTGTTAAATACCAGGTCTGGTTCTTCAGCTCTATAAAGCTGCTATCACACATTTTCTTGAGAGTTCTTCCAGTGAAGTGTACCAAGGAAGGCTCAACAAAGCTTATTTGTTGCTTGAAGGTGGCTAAGTGTGATACCTGCCTGGACATGAACATTTCTACTATTTTATGCAAGAGGAACACAGTCTGGTCAACCTTTTAAACTCCCTATTTTTTGTGTCCAAACAGTTTGGATATGCAAGTTTTTTGTATTAAAATTGTTGTTTTTTTAGGTAAAAAAGATTGAGCCTGGTATTGGAGTACTTTTTTTTTTAGCATGAATACTAGAAACACTGACATCATTCTGTAGCCCACTTAATCCCCTGAATTCATCTCATCGGCTCACAGATTGGGTATTAAATATTTTCTGAAGCTTAAAGAATAGTAAATATATGGCTAACACTTGATACCAACTAAATTTTTTCTATGTGGTAATTCTCAAAAATGGCTAAATAGATAATGATTCTCAGTTATTAGACTTTAAATCCGAATACTGCATTTAAAGCCTTTAGTCTTTAAATTTCTGTTTGGAACTATGTATTCTAAAGTCTGGTTAAATGAAGATTATGATCATGTATATTTACAAAATGTCTTGAGACCTTCTATAGAGATTATGTAAATAAAAATGGGGACAGGGTTATTTTGTGGTTGATTATTTGCAAGAGAATTGATGTTATAGAAATTGATTAAGATATGGAGTGTGTTTGGGTTGATGTACATGACAGAGAAGGGTAAAAGATGTTTATTGGCATTTTCTACAGGCAGCCTGATCAGATTGTTGTCACCGAAAGGAATATGTACAGGCAGATATTATTGCTGCCAATAAAAACAAGCTTATTATTATGAAAGACTTATTTTAGGGAAATTGACTGGGTGAGTCTGTCTTCTCCATATGTACTGAAGAATTTCTTGAGATTATGGATGATTTTTTTTCTTTCTAACCATTTGAAAGATCTTAATAGAAAGGATGCTGTATTCTATTTGGTTGTAGCATCAAAGAAAATATGGCTTGACATGTGTAAAATCAGTTGAATACTAGTATTCTTATCACCGTCATATTTGCTGATTATATTAAGATCATTTTTGAAACTGCAGGAAGTAATAAAACATTATGATTGGTTGCTTAATGTTAATGAGAAAAACTTGTTAATTGTACTGGATTAGTGTATTATGTAACTTGTAGTAAGTCTGTGTTGCACATGTAGGTATATCTGGTGGAAAACTGTGTGTGTATAGTTACTGATGTATATAATATATATATATAGTGTGTGTGTGTGTACTAGTTCTATAGTTCTTGCATATCACACATCTAGCTCATGAATTTGCTAGTTTTGTTTATTTCAGTTGTATTAAGCATAAGCCTAATATACCACATTAAACATTTTTCTACATATATTTGCCGTGTCTTAGTTTGATGTTTGTCACTTGAGGAGCTTTTTTTTTTGTATGTGATCATAATTGTTTCTTTATTGATAAATATTGTCATTTGGTGATATTTTCAGATAGATTATGATTATCACATTCTGTTTAGCTTAATATTTCTGTTCTGACTAATTTTAGACATTTCACATTAATGTTGTTTGTGATTATTACTAGTTAAGGTAGTTTTTATATTGCTTTTGCTTATTTTTTTATGATTTAATATACTTTTTCCGTACTTTACAGGGTTCACATTTAGTCATTGTGCTTAGAAAACAAAAATATATATTTAGAAATTCTTTTTCTGTCTACAAAAATCT